TCGCTTCTGATTGACTTCAAATTTTCTGAGGTTTCATTTTTTAGAGAAAAAATGAGATTCTGAAAGTTTCATGTTGATTGCATTTGCGCAAGTTTGGTTTTTGTTCCTCAATTGTTTTCGAAAGTTTCTTGTACTTTCTATTTGGTTATACCGCTTCAATGAAGATTCCCACAAAAAAAATAAACATATTTAGACCGTATAGCACTTAAATTCTTTGTTTGACATCTCTCTATGAGATTCCAGAAAGAAACTGTACTGTCCCAATCGATATAAGTCATTTTGAGCCCACCAAAGTCTCAAAAAGTAGCCAAATTCTCTTATTTTCCACTAAATTTTGTACAAAAAGTACTGTAACTTTGGATAGAGGTATGATATTAACACATGTTATGGCTTAAATAAAAGGTATTGAAGCCCACTTTTATATAAAATCTTGATGCAATGTGCTAGTTTTGGGAAAAGTGTTCATTTTTGGAGCTTGAAGTCTCTACCTATGTTTCAAATATATACAAAATCAATATTCGAGGTATATCTTAATAACTAGATTTGATGTGACCAAACTAATGATTTATTTAGATTTATAGGCTCAAAAAATAATAAAAATTACTCTTCTCTTGTTGATTTACATGTTATTTTCGCAATTCGTCACTATTATAATGATAAGTGTATTTTTAGTTTATGTTGTAGGCCATTCTTCCCAAAAATGAACCCTTTTTGCAAATTTAGCACATTGCATCAAGATTTTATATAAAAGTGGGCTTCAATACCTTTTATTTAAGCCTTAACATGTGTTGATATCATACCTCTATCCAAAGTTACAGTACTTTTTGTACAAAATTTAGTGGAAAATAAGAGAATTTGGCTACTTTTTGGGACTTTGGTGGGCTCAAAATGACTTATATCGATTGGGACAGTACAGTTTCTTTCTGGAATCTCATAGAGGGATGTCAAACAAAGAATTTAAGTGCTATACGGTCTAAATATGTTTATTTTTTGTGGGAATCTTCATTGAAGCGTTATAACCAAATAGAAAGTACAAGAAACTTTCGAAAACAATTGAGGAACAAAAACCAAACTTGCGCAAATGCAATCAACATGAAACTTTCAAAATCTCATTTTTTCTCTAAAAAATGAAACCTCAGAAAATTTGAAGTCAATCAGAAGCGATTTACGGGTACCTCCCCTACAAAATTGTCGAAATTTTGCCTGAAATTACCCATTTTTCACTAAAAATGATCAAAAATCGATGTAAAATCAATTGAGTACTGTTTTTTTTATATTATATATGTTATGTTCTTTGACCACAAGGTGGAAAATATACTAAAACATGCGGTAAAGTTAAGGAAAAAGACCTTAAAATGCAAAAAATGGCGATTTTTGGCTATCTAAATAATTATAGCTCGGGCGCCAGGTCCCAATCCCAGGTTTTAGGGTAGTTTTTTGTTGGAATTTTCTTTTTGTATGATTCTGCAACGATTAAGCTATTTGGTGACGTAAAATTCGAAAAAAGTCGAAAAAAAACCACTCTAATGTGGCACTGGTGTTGGGGGTTCAATCTTCGAATTTCGCCAAATGTTTCGCATACTTACAAGGTGCTCGTTTCGCTCAGTTTTCCATTACTGGTTGGCGATTGGTGTGACGCAAAGAGATAGCAGTGTGTATGGTTGAACGCGATAGCGGTATAAACAAAATGAATGATACAACAGAAAGTAAAAAAGCATGCGACGTGTTGCCATTTGGAGCGGAAAACAGCACATTATAACGTTGTGTATCTATGTGTGTTGTTCTGTGCTGTCTATTCGATTTGTGTAAGAAGCCGATAGGCATCAAGAATACATGGCATTATGTTCTGTTCTGTTTTGGAATACCCAAAGGAGACATAATGCACATTTCTGCGTAAAATTTCCTCCCCTTAATATTTTCTTCTTTGCTAACCTTCGACATTCACTTCATTCCGTGTTGCAATGGGAATAAAAGGTGAATTCAGTTTTTTCATTCCGCTTCTGCATTGGGTCGTTTGAAATGAAATGAAACGATATTCGTCTCACAATAATCTTTATTAGATTTATTTGCAGTCAAGATGAATACTCGCGTCACGATGCACCCTTTAAATTGATTGTCGATTGGAAAATTGATTTGAAATAACGACGACGACGACGATGAACGTCGAAAAAAAAAACACCGAACAAAATTTTTGATGATAACCATCAATCGTTCGATTCGTTCAGTCGCAACTCATGGTGATGCGTTTCTATTTATAGAATATATTTTTTTCCTTCGTCGAAAGAAGAAGAAAACATGAAAATGTGCGCAAGTTTTGTTTGTCTCGGTCGAATTCACGCGCACCCACATTCAGCACTCTCTTCTAAATGTTGCTCGATATGTTAAAGCCCGTTGGATTTGTCGATGTGTCCAAAAATTATCTCACTCATTTGTTCCCCCTTAGAAAACAACATGCAACCAAAATTTCACCAGAGAATTTACTCACCGAAATTGTTATGTTGACTCTTTCGCATGCCCACAACAAAAACAAATCCAGTTTTATTCTTTTGCCCACTGACACACGATAACACCCGAATGTCAACTTGATTTATGATTTTATGAAGCACTTTGTTTTAGTCAACTTAACGCGTTATGTTGAAATAATAAAGAGCGTTTTTTTTTCTTCGTTGGATGCGCCAAGCGACTTTCGATTGCACACGATGTGTTGAATGCTGATGATGAAGACGACGTCTGCATTGGCCGGTGACTGAGAATACAATACAATTTATACGTGAAACCAGCTGGGTAATGGTAGTAAAGTGTCAAGGTAACAACTATTCAATGCACGCACGCATACAAACACATCGCTGTGTATGTAGTGGATGGGGGCCTTAAGAATCAACAATTCATTCTATTTCATCCGAAACACACAAACATCTCATTTAAAAAAAATTGATTTTCAAACCATTTTTCAATGGTGAATAATAATAATTTTAGTTGGTGTTATGGAACTAGAGGAATTTTCCATCGAACTTTTCAAAACATGCTGACAGTGACAGCATGGCTATTGGACGCACCCAAAAATACAGCAACTGTCAAATGGAAAACGCACGTCACGGCAGAAACGCGCGCGTTATTTCAGCAACAGTTTTGATTGTCGCAACAAACGAACACAACAACCTCTGAAAGTGTCGAAATACTAAGCCTAGCACAAAAGGAACCGATTTTGATTTGAATTTTGGGAAAATAAAATTTAATTCGTTTGGTATCATGGATGAATTCGAGTTTAGCTATCGCGAAGTGATTCCAGACCAAACAAATGCACAAATCCGAAAGGATATCACAATAAACACCGGTTTGTATAGTTTTAGGTTATGTTTTTAGCTCTACAACAAACATTTTTTCATGCAAGAATATTTATGAATTTTGAGTTGTTTTTCTATTCTAGGTGCTGCACAAAGTACACTTCAAGATATAAAGGTCATTGAAAAAGCCGGCGGTTTTTGCTACAGTGACCTAACTCACGAATCAAAGAGGAATAGATTCATTTACTGGTAGGTTACAATTGTTGTGAAATGTGATACTTTTCGAGTGAAGCGGATTGGTTTCGACTGAAGAATGAATTTTGGACATAGATTTTCAAGTGAATGAAAATCAACGTTGAGTAATTAATCAAAATCGAGATATAATAAATTTTCTTCTCGTCCATAGGCGAACAAATGGCGATATTTTGGAGTTGTCCGAAATCAGTTTGGATTTGAATTTGATTGACAATGCGATTCGATACAAATTCACCGACGCTCCCATTCTGGCTGTTTCGATTGCCGAAAGCAATGACAATATCGTTGTTTTGGTTGCCACCGTCAGCAGTTTACATCAGTTAAAATTCAATCAACCACGTCAATTCACTAAAAGTCATGAGGAAACACAGTCATTTTCCGTTTTTCATGGTGTTTGCACAGGACAGACAACTCGTGATCCAACCACTTCACTCTTTTATGTCATCAATCAACTATCAGCATCAAGTAAGTTGTAAATGGTGGTTCCATTTGAATAACAGTACAATAAATCGTTTTTTTTTCTCTGTGATTTAGATCAGCCAATTCCACACATGGCGTCTTGTGCTCTCAGTGAAAATGGTCGTGAGGCCTTCTTTGCCTTCGCTTATCAAAGCACAATGGTTTTGTATACAATGAACTGTGCCACAGGCCAAGTTGCTTCCACTGAATTGAAAGAGAGTCACATAGTACCACGCATTCTGACGAATCTAACCGGAGCCTTTAGGTAACTTTAGATGTTAATAATGTTCAATGAGTAGAAATTTCATGTCTTTTTCGCATTTACAGAGGAAAAAATCCAGACAGTCAATATGTCACTTCAATGGTATTTGGCACCATTGATGATGCCGTTTATTTATATGGCTTATATCGGGATGATCACATTCGAATGTGGTCCGCCAGAACCGGTCAATGTGTTTCAATCGTAAACTGTGTGCCAAATGCTTTGGAGACACGAACACGTGGATGTAAGTTCATCAAAATCCATTGAATAGCTTACTCAGTTTCATTCTTATTCTGATCAAAATATTTCATTACAGCACGTAATAACTTGCTTCGAAAGGCCGCTCCCGACATGTTGTGCGCATTCTTGTGCAGCGCTAAAGGTTCCGAATTTATGACGATTCGAGTTGTTAATGATGGAACGGCGATTTCATTGCAACAGATCAACGTTATTCCTTCGCCTGAATTCGATTTAATCGAATTCGATGTGAATTATAAGCGTATTTGGGGTCTGTGGTGCAATTCACAGGGCGAGTACAATGTTTCGAGCTACTCTCTGGTGTCGAACGGTGGATACAACTGGGCATCAGCTGGATTGGAAATTCTGCCGGAACGTAAAATCGAATCAGGAAGCGATCCACGACAAGCGTATTGCTCATACATTTTCTATCCGGGACGTTTTCAACGTGAAGTCATTGACCGAGCGCTGATTGTAAGTGGGAGATTTCATACTTTTATAATTTGAATCTTCTAAGAAGATATGTTTATATTTTTATTTCAAGAAGATTGTGACTTCATTACAAAAAGAGAGATTAAACTGAATTCGCTTCCTTTATTTTCCCTTGCAGATGTTCCGTCGCTCCAATGTACTCTCCGACCCGAATGTTTCATTTGCAGCACTCAAAGACCGTGTTTGCTATGCCGTTGAGCAGGAAGTGCAAAATGAGCTCAAAGATTTCGATGTCACCGATGATTTGTACATCGAAACCAGTTTCAAAGCATGGGAACGTTTCTTTTCATGTTGTGAACAATACCACATCAAGGCAACGCAACCAATTGGCCTGGTGAATTTAGATTCAATTGGTGCTGTTACTGTTATCAAGAAGAATGCTTTCTCATTGCTTCGTCCGTGTGAATTGCTCGAGCATATGATGTTGCTCGGCGAAAACGTTGAATGTCTCTCAGATCTTGGTGTGGATGATGACATCAATTCCGAAGACTTAGTCAAACTTATTGCCACTCTGTCAACGTTGGAGCAAAATATTTCTGATGAATACAAGGCAGAAATTGACACTAAACTCTATGAGTTAAACACACCAAATGAACTCATTTCTCAATTGCTTGCGGACTATGAGCAAAATGTAAGAGATTAAGCGTAGTGTTTTGAAATTTGTACCAAACGTCACATCAAAATGAATTCAATTGAAATTTTAAAAAATCATTTCATTTCAGTTCATCGATCCAGATTTACGCGAGGTTATCAATTCTGAGATGAAATTCATTTCGAAATTGCCAAAAGCCATGACCTTGCTCTTGAAAATGCTTCAAATGAACGATTCGGAAACAGATGAAATGCAATTGTTCCCAAGTATGTGACGAATTTGGGTCACTGTCACCACTTCCACAGATTGAAAATATTATCCGTAA